CAATATATCACAAACCCTACATTTCAGGCACTTTTAGACTTATTACAGCTACTCTGTAACCAAAGTCTTGTAAGCATTTCTTACACATTTTTTTCTGTACTATATTGAATCCACTGCTGATTTTGTCTTCTCTGCTTACAGGTATGGGACAGCAGAACTTTGTCTACATCATGTCGTCCTCGTTGCTCAGCTGGTGGGTAGAGCTCAGGACAATACATGGAAATACAAAAGACATGCTCAGTAGACCTTCATATTGTTGACTTGTTATATTTTGCAGTTTACAGTATCTCATCCAAACTTTAAAAAATGTTGGCTCTCGCCATCTTTGATAGTCACCACAAGGTCATTGACGTTTCTTCATGTCTGACCTCTTCCTGTGCTCTTTCTAAAATAACTCCAAATCCCCTTAATCTCTCTGTAGGGTTATTTATTAGTATGGGGTCCTCACTGCTTTCACTGGCACCCCAACAGAGGTGACAATTGGTGTTGTTGGACCTTGGGGCCATCTTTTCATAACCTGTTACATCATGTCATCCAATTGCACTGGATCCCACTCATGTCCATACACGTCCCCCCCTTCAAGGTTTTCACCTTCCTTCCACCCTGATGCCCTGGTGATTTTACTCCTCCTGAGCCTTCACACTGACACTCACACTGTTCCTCACCTCCTCTCTGCTTCTGCCTCTTCTCCTACAGGTGAAAGCTTGCACCACTGAGTGTTACCAGTTGTTCCACCTGGGCCTGCTGCTCAAACGCATGGTTTTCCTCATGACACCAAACCACCAGGTTAGAAACCCTGAGAACTGATGTGTCAATGCACATCTAAACAGTTTTGAATTGAAGTTAACTCAAAAACAGAATACCCACAGACACATACAACCTGTATATGGAGAGGATCAGAAAAAGGTGGGGCACAGTGAGTAAACAAAACACCAAAATAAGGTGGAATAATCAAGTAGAATTAAAAAGAAATTAGCTATTGAAATAGACCACAGTTCCACATTGAACATTTACATTACCTGCAAATCAGAGTCCTGCACGGGTCCAGTTTTGCATACCCGCATCCGCCTGCACCCACAGAGCTCAGAACTGGAACTGACTTTAATATAAAAGACCTGCGATCCAAAGAGTCATATTTTTATTTGCGCAATTATTAGTGTTACATGTAGAAACATGAATTCAAATCATAATTAACCATTAAGCTGAATCAATCATCAACTTACTCCACACGATCAGCTGATTCGGCTTGATGATATTTAACTGATTCTATGTTAATACTACTGTTGTTAGGAATAGTAAATTATATTAAATAAATAAGCCACACTACAAACATCAGGCTTTAAATAGACCCGGTGATTGGTATCGGCCGTTCCGAGCACCCTTAGGCCATAGTATATGATAATGTTTATGCTCATGTACCATTCAGTGACCCCTTCTGTCTTCATTTACTGGGTTTACTCCTTTTATTTGTTAGAAAATGGTTATTCTAGAGTCTAGGACTCTTTCTGGTTTTGCATGATGCTTGTTGGTTGTGTCTATATAATTACAAACAACCCATTAAACCCTACAAGGGTATAACCTTCATATCAGGTGATTTTTGATGATTTCCAGATGGAGTTGGTGTCACGTTTCCCACCTTCTGATGTGGAAAACCTTCCAGTGTGGCGACATGTCCTCCTCAGAGCTCTTTCTCATGATGCCCGTCACCGTGTAGAGACAGACATCACTGGCCTGGTTCAAAAAGCTCTGACTGATTGGCAGACTGGAGGGCACAAACTAGGACAAGTGAACAAAGTGGTGAGGACAGCCTCAGATAGGATTTGTAGCAGAGGGTGTAACCATCTGACTCAAGTAATTGTCAGTGCTTTTTTTGGTAATGTCACTTTTTGTTGAAGAAAAAACAAGCAAATTTCTAAGTGGAGAAGATCTCATACTTACTTGTGTAATCTCTACATACACGTTATTTCAGATTGTGATCTAAAAAAGGGGCAGTACAAACATCAAGGGCAAGTCGCAGCATAGTTTCTGTCATTGTGCACTTAAGAGAGTGGTTGAATGACAAATGACCTCAACAATTGATTTCAAGAGGGAGATAAGTATGTTCCCATCGTTGGAAACAGAAAACACAGATAAGATTGTTATTAGTGACCTCTCTCCTTTGATGTTCTCTGTGTATTGAAGTGAGAGCCAAACTTTTCTCATTGCGGATGAAACCACTTTCTCATCCTTTTGACATTGTGTGTTTATCCTTGCCCTTTGTGATTTGTCTCTTTGAAAGCATATTTGAACTAAAATGACCAGATGGATACATTTGACAGAATATAATGCCCACTAGTTAGTTCAGTGGTCAGTGGTTAATTATGATACGTAAATGATCTGACCTTTCATTCAACCTTTTAATAATTGTGACTGTAAAAAAAAAAAAAAACAATCCTCCACTTTAGGGTGTTGCAGTAAGTTTGTCCAGCTGTAATCAGTCAGATTCTTGCCAGAATGATTAAATCCAGTTTAGAAAACAATGCAAGGAAGCAGGGTCGGGAAACATTAAATGGAAAATATGCACAAATGTAGCATTTACAAAGCCCCTCCTGTGTCCAGAATGCAGTGCTGTTGTCCCTCCTAGCGGTGGTTCAGGGGCAGTCATCTTCTGAGGAACAATGTGTGTTGTCGGCAATGAGGATAATCACACAGCTCTGGTTACGAATGAGTCCAGACCAGGTTAGAGCCAAATAAATACACACACACACACACACACACACACACACACGGAAATATGTAGTGTAAATGCAGGACAATTATCTCTGTACCTTTTCATACACCAGGTGCAGGCCCACCCTGTGCTCCAGTGTACTCTGCAGCTGCTCCTGTCAATATCAGCCGTTTTAGTGAAAAACATCGAACATCAAGTCATTCTTCAGGTATGCTGTTAGTTTTCACAGGTCACATTAAACACATGAAGAATGGAGAATACTTCGGTTGACGTGTGTGTGTGTGTGTGTGTGTGTGTGTGTGTGTGTGTGTGTGTGTGTGTGTGTGTGTGTGTGTGTGTGTGTGTGTGTGTGTGTGTGTGTGTGTGTGTGTGTGTGTGTGTCTCAGGCTTTGTTGTGTGTGGATACTGTGGTGGCTCAGAAGTGTGCAGATCAGCTGCTGCTTGCTGCTCTGGAGTTCCTCTCCTCCCTGGGGAAGATCTTTGTACCTCCTGACAGCCAGGTAATGAAACCAGAGGGTGTTGCCTTTTAGTTCTTTGAACTCCTTACTAATGGTTTCTCAAGGACAATTATTCTACTGCTGTTCTCACTGGAAGTCACTCTTAACATATTTTACCCTGCAAGACCCTCAAGTGAGTCCATACATAACACAAACCTGTTCATGAGGTTAATTACATCTGATATTTGGTTTTATCCAACAAATATGAATCAGTTATATACAGATTGTTTCTTTTCTCTTTCACATATTCATGAATTTAATACTTTTATGTTCGTAAGTATGTTTGAAATATCACTTTGGGTTCTTGCATCTTGTGATGTGAATTTGTCAAATTTCTTTACATTTAATAGACTAAAGGAATAATCTATTATATGAAAAAAATCAGTAATAGCTGAAACTGTAGATATTTGAATTCTAAATGTATTATATTCTGAAATCTACAATGTAAATATATTCTCATATTTTCTCTTTCACATAAACTTTTTTGTCCCAAAGAATCAAATTCTGCCGAGGCTGAGCAGCCTGTTTGGAGTCCTGTTGTCTGACAGATTCTGGCTGCTGCATCAGCACGCCCTGGAGGCCTTTTCTCACTTTGCTGAGGTACAGCTGGAACTTAATATATCTTACTAATGTTTCAGATGTAATCCTGTTCATGTGATGTGTCGAAACTGTTCGTGTCATAAATGTGTCCTTTTGGTATTTAAGATTACAAACCATGAGGAGGTAATTTCCCAGAGTTTGTGTGATGAAGACACCAAGACGAGGGTGGTGAACTATCTTAGCAAGGTGAGAGATGCCAACATATTGTGATGAAAATCACCCTTAGATAAAACACATTGAAATAAACATGTCTGTTTTGTTGTAGACTGTGAATGCACAGGAAGATGCAGAGTCACGGCTACAGAGGCTTAAACTGGAAACAGCAGTTATTGAGCAACACAATGAGAAGCTGGAGAACAACAAAGAAAATGCTTCGAACAATCTGGCTGCCGACACCGTTGTAGATTCAGAGGTTAGTGGCGCCAAGTAAAACTTTATTCACAGGCTTCCTGAATATGCGTGCTCATGCACAGCTTTGCTTCACATTTATACTGTCCAAGCCACATTGAGTGGCAGCTGACCAGTACGACACGACCTCGTAGTGTACGTAGCATAATAGGAACCAGGCTATTATTAATGCCTATTTTATATATTATTCCGTTGCCATGTTATATATATTTATATTTCTTAATAAATATATAAATGTGTGGGATTTAAGTGTTTGCAATGCTAGTAGCTCAGTCTGTTTCATTTCAACAATCAAGATTTCTGTCTCGTCTGTTGTGAAATTCAATCATGTTGTGTGAGTGAGAATTTAATTCATGAAAAGATGTCTGTTTTCTCTGTACTTATTCCTCCCTCTCAGCCAAGCCCAAAGAGAGCTCGGCAGGAGACCAGTGCAGAGGAGGCGTACAGCCGCTACATCCAGACAGCTGAGAGTGCTTTGAAAGCCCTTAAGGTTCTCACGGAGGGTAAAGCCGACACTACTGCGCCACCTCCGCAGTGGCTGGAGTCCAGACTACAAGAGCTGCAGACCCTCATAACCCACATCAGTACGGCCAGACACACAACCTAGCTGTTCCAGTTTCTTTTATAGCGCCAAATTATTTACACTATGTATAGAAAAACTATTTAATCACAGTCTGGGCCTTTGGAAGTCAGTATACACTTTACTGCTGCTGGAAAGTGTCACCTTTTAAACCTGTCTGTGGTCAGTGTGTGATTGATGTTTATTAAACTTGTTTGAATACAAATCATTGCTCATTTGTTTTTATTGTGCAGTAAGACATTTGTTTTATTAAGTACCCATATTGGATAGAGGATTTTTCTGTTTCTGTTATGAAAAGTAAAGTACTTGCTGTCAGTAGCTCTAAACAACTGCAATAACTTTATAAAAGGCAAGTCTAACAAATGTCTTATAAAACAGAACAGGGTCATTTTTGATACAGTAAAATCTTTACTTCACCAGCAACCAAAAAGCTACTAATAAATTATGTAATTTCTATTTCACATTCATTCAAAGTGCAAGCGTTCTGTAAATCAAACCTAACACATTTTGGACATGTGTCTTGCCAAAGTGTATCTTGATCTTCATGCCACTAGTAAAGTTGGCACATTAAAAAAAACAAAAAAAAAATTAAAGAAGCAGATGAAAACAGGATGACTTTCACCTCTGATTAAAATCCTCATTCATCTCGAGGAGACTAGCATCAATTGGCAAACAATTAAGAATGGCTTCATTTGTCCAAGTCCAGCACCATCTGATAAGCTTCCAGTTTAAATGTCTAGGAACCAACAGAATAGGATATAAAAAGTCTCATCCCATTATCAGTTCCTTACTGCATCATAGTGTTAAATCAGAAATGGAGTAACTTTCAGGTCACAGGCTGTGAGATGGCGCAACTTGAGCATTTGAGTTTTCCAGTGGTTGAGTCTTTGGCTCCAGATGGATCAAACGTCATCACCAGGCATTTTCATCCTCCCAGTTCAGATCATCTCCATCTCCCCAGCCATCTGTTTCAGTCTTTAAGGAAGAGTAATTTTTTTTGATGAAAAAACAAACAAAGAGTATCACAGAGAGGTAAGTTGGTAAATTGAGAGAAATTCTGTCATAGATGAATATAAACAGAAAAGGTCACTTCAACATGTATTGTATATAGATGAGTAAAAAACGTTTTGGCTCATTGTTCCCTTAATTTGTATTTCTAATTTACATATTTAGGACTGCCTCCAGTCTTGTTTCACAAATGTAAGTTGTCAAAGCATTTTTACTATACTAGTATTATTACTTTTCATATAGCTTTCTAATCCTGTTTATCTTTGTAAAGTACTATATAGATTTATATTTTCAGGCCTATTAAAACTAATAAAAATGAAATGGTCCGAGAAGAACACAGTAATTTGATTAAACTTCTCACAACTCACAGGAAAAAAAGGTCAGAAACCACACATTTAATGTGTTTAAGTCTGCATTTTTGCAGCTCCTGTTCTAATAGTTCTTACACCATTTGAAAAGATTGCTGTGGAAGCCTAAAAAGTAATAAAATATAATTTACCCCCACACACACACTCACCTCAGTCAGGTTGGCAGCTGCGAACTTGGCAGTGAGCATTACATTATCGATGGATGAGTCAAGCTGCAGAGATTTTGTGTTTTCTGAAGAGGCTGTGGACAGTCCAGCATCATTCACACTGCTCTCGTCCAGTGGCAGCAGAGCCGGAGAGGACAGTTTGATGTCCGGCACCATGTCTGCAAACAAATCCAGCTCTGGGTCTTGCTCTACTTTTTTCTTCACCTTAATGGTGAACTCCTCACCCAGACCTCCTATCCCACCATTATTTTGTGGCACTGTAGTTTTGGGCTTGGGGTTCAATGGGTTGTGGGTTTTCTCCGAGTCTCTCTCTTCTTGAGCCCAGCCATCGTCCCATGAGGAAGTGGTCTTAATCTGTGTGGATGGCCGCAGTGTCGACGTCAGTTTGAGGGGTTTAGAGAAACCCTGTCTCAGTGCTTCAGGAGCATGTTTTACAGGTGTAGCAGTGCCCCCTCTGGGCAGTGACAGTATAGCTGGGTCTGATAAAGGAGCAGTAGGGGAGAGATCTGAGGTAGGTTCAGTGTCCTCAAAGTCGTCCCACGGCTCCTGTTCCACGTTCGGGTGTGAGAGTGGCAGTCTGCTGCTGACTGGATCTTCTCTCGCCGAGGCCTGAATGCGGATCTGGACTGACTGTCCATCTCTGTTCTCGCTCTCTTCAGGGTCGCTCCAGTCAGGCCAGTCTTCTACTGGGCCTTCCAGTCTGTCAGCCTGCTCCGGGCTGTATGACAGTGGCTCCATCTCACGATCTTGACGAAAACCGTTCAAAGATAGAGACATCTGTCTACTGACATCTGAAACATGTTAAAAACAGACAGAGCTTCAGGCACAAGAACATCAAACTGAATTAAAATTGACATTTAATTATGTGTATATGGGCAGGGGGTGGGGCTGAGGTCACACCTGATATTGGAGCCAGGGGGTAACTGCTTGGAGTCTTCCTACAACCGGCTAAGCTACCCAAGTCACCCAGGACCAGGCCTTCAGTCCCTGCCGGTCTGGGGAACAAATTCAAGACTTTCGAAGGCTGGGCCATCTGAGGGTGAGATCCTCCAACTATATGGACAGGCGAAGCTAAAAGAGAGAAGGAGTAACATTAGTGTCGACCAAATATTACTTTCTTTAAATCTAATCCATAACCAGTTTGCTCAATCTGATTTAATGTGCTTGATTGTGTAGTAGTTAAGGCGGTTAGACAGTTGATTATCTAAATCCAGATTTTCTAGTTTGAACTTGTACACTAAGAAAACCGGTTCTTAAGCCTTGAAGCCAACATTGAGATGTTCACTGACAGACACAAATGTGGTGAAAAGTACAACAATCCTAATGCCTGTGCTACTTCATGTCTTCAGCTTATACAAAAAACTGTAACAACTGCTGTAGTCAAAAATCACACCAGTTTGACCCTCCCTGTACTGGCTTTGATTTGGTGGCTCCAAGGTAGTTGATTGTTGTTGCTTTGGATTGGCAAAGCCTCTCTGTAATTGACAATCTAGGAATGAGACTCACCAACTATTCAGCATGACTGACCCCACCTTAAACTGACGATTTGTACTACAATGCTGTATTTTTGAATTCCTTTAAGCCTGAGCTCAAAATGGCCAAAATCTCCCATCTTATCCCACATTAGAGACTCAAAAAAGAGGTACTTAACAGCCTGAACAGTCTAAATCAGTCCAGTCTTCAATCACTTCTCAAAACATTTGTATTCTTTTTTTGATACAAGTCTAGGATTATTCTTTGTTTCCTGCCGACTAGGCTTCTGAAGAATTGAAAAGTTCACAACTGTAGGATTCAGAAACGATAGCAGAATTCGTACAATGCACATCTTTAAGAAGTACAAACACAATAGTTAAGTTTGTGTTATACATAGTTGAATATGAACATTATTGATTTAGCAGCTTTCATTGCTACTGGCATTATTAGGTCAGTGTTTCTTACTTTCCGGGGTGACCTCTGTAGACTTGGTGAAGTTGGGTGTGGTGCGTTTAAAGACCTTGGATCTCTCTCCACCAACAACCACTTTAGCCCCCAGCAAAGGTACCAACACAGCCAGACTCTGCAGTGTCATGGCAACCAGAGAATCACTGGTATCTCTCATTCCTAACAAAACCTGCAGCCAGGAACAAACAAAGAATTATTATGTAACTCTGTAACTGTAAGAGAATTGCAGAATAATAATAATAATAATAATAATAATAATAATAATAATAATAATAATAATAATAATGGACGTTGCACCTCACATGAAAGACTATTTTTATTTCAACTAACTTACAGATAAAAAAAAACAAAAAAAACACATCTTTGATTTAGGTTGTTCTGGACATCTTGTATATCAAAATCCATTTTTAGATATTAAAGGAATATTTCAACATTTTTGGAGTAAGTCAGACAAGCTGCTTCCAGTCTTTATACTAAGGTAAGCTCTTCCTGGCTCTAGCTTCATGAGTAAACATCTAGACATAGGAGTGGTATCAACTGATGAGACATCTCATTCTCAGGGAAAAAGCGAATAAGCATATATCCCAAAATGTTAAATTATTCCTTTAAACTTAGCTCAGTGTTTACCACCGATACCAAAATCCTGGTGCTATGTCAACACTCCACCTGAGGTAGGATCTGATTTTTGAGTTCATCGTGGGAGAAGAACTCAGCGTAGATGTGGATGTGAGCCAGCAACACCATCCGGACATGTTCCTCGTTGACCTTGAAGAGCTTAAGAAGTGGAGGAATCACATGTTTCCGGTAAAGGGACACCGACAGCAGGCATTCTTCACTGGAATCTGTTCACACAGAAAAAATAAAAAAACAAAATCCACTTACAGTTTCACACACAGCTACAGTGTGATCTTAAAAGATGTGAGTTATTATTAACAGCAAGAGATCCTTCTTACCGTTCTTTGGACTTAGAAGATGAGGCAGGAAGCTTTTGACAGCCATGGGTTCTGCAAACACGAGAGAGTTGAGGAGTTTGGGGACAAGGCGTGTAGCTATCAGCTCCTCAGGAAGACTCTGGACCCGGTCTAGAAGAAACCTACAAAAATAAATAAATAAATAAAAACAACACACACACACAATGAGCATGTTAAGGAGATCCAAAATAAAGCTATGTGTGAAATTATACATTATTTAATTGAGGGAATGTATAAGAAAACAATACACATGTGTTGTTCTGTTGAATAAACACCATGCACTAATTACAAAAGAGCACAATGTAGAAAAAAAGACCATAAGTAAATTGATCATAACATCTCTCACTTGAAGAATTCATTCTTTTCTTCTTCTGTCTTCAAGGTCAGGCTCTTCAGAAAATTCATCACTTCCAGAAAGTCATTCCTATTCATGGAAAAATACATAGTGTGTTCATCAGTGTGCACTGATAATAGTAACAAAAAAACAAAAGCAAGCCTGACCAGACTTACCTGAAAAAGTCATGAGTCAGCAGGGAGCTGAGTGGAGGTCGAGACAAGGGGTCAGAGTTCAGCAGGCCTGCCTGCAGGGTCTTCTTCAGACTATCAGACAGCTCCTGTGACACTGGAAACATCAGAGGAAAGAGAAGGATGAAGGAGTTTAAGTATACTACTAAAATCTGACAATATGCAACTTTACAGTTGAGGTCACCAGTAAACAACCAACACTCTACTCACCATAACCATTCAAGAGAGAGATGAGAGTCTCCACCATCATTCCGAAAGAGTAACAGTCCCGAGAGTGAGCATTTGTCTCTGGAAGCATTTTAAAGCCCTCAACCTGTCGACAACATGTCTAATGAGAACTTGCAAACAAAAGAGGAATTCCATTTTTCCATCATGACCTTTAATCTGCTTACCTGCTCTTCTGGAGGAACATAGGTGGCCTCTCTCACATTCTCAATGCTTGAGAGAAACTAAGGAGTTAAAGAAATTTGATAATCAAAACATAAAACTAATATATGAGTCTTCAAATGTCTGAATGCTGTGCTTTTAGAAAAAACAATGTACTCATAACGAGAGCACCCTTGGAGCATCCTACCTACTATTTCTCTTACCTCAGGTGTTGCTTCAGAGAACTTGCAGACAGTCTCCATCCCTCCCAGTTTCCAATGACCATCTTCACTGACAAACACAGATGAAATGCAGACGTTGTTGTGGCTCGATTTGCCCTGGTGGTTAAGGAAGACAGATTAGGAACATATCCATGCCTGTTTAACACAGACAGACAACAAACGGCCAGTGACTACAGCCAACTTGATTTTCTTTCTCTCATTCATAAAGATAATTGTGCAGGGGTCCCTTGCATCCAGAGCAACTCCTCCGTGCTTCCTTTTAGCTCACCCTCTCGTGCAGAAAGACAAGTGCCTGCAGGAGGTCATAGATGCCTGCGCAGATTTCCTCTGGGGAGAGGCTGTCCAGCAGCAGCTCCAGGGGCTGCACACGCTCCGTCACCAGGTGGATGCCGCCATCCTGCACTGAGCAGGACAGGAAGCGCAGTAGACATGGGTGCCTCAGGGTCTTCAGGTGCTGCAGGAAATGAAAGTATTTCTTTATTTCCTATAAAAAGTGAACATCCTGCAGCTGATAGAAAATCCATATGAGTAGAAACTGAGAGCCAAAACCACTTAGTTAAATAAATTAAATACAGACTGCTGACAGTGGAAGGCATAAGGACATATTTTGGTGGCATAGGTCCAATAGAAATGTAGTGTTCTTTACCAATATGAGGCAATACGTATCAGATACATGATGAAAAACTGCACAGACTCTGCTGCAATCCAATCAACATTTGCCTCTGAGAACGACTTCATTTGGACACGATATAACATTTATTTAATGTTATGTTTAATTGGCAGATTTAAAGAGGAGATAAAGTTATTTATTTGCAAGACAAACTTTTATGACAAATCGGGGTTCACCACAGCAACAGCGTTTCGGTGTCCATGTGTGCTGGCCACCAGTATAGTGCAAGTCACTCAACAATTACACCACAAATGCAGCTACTGTAAAGCAGCCGGTGTGATGTGGTGTCAGGGCGAGGCTTCAGTTTAACTACCTTGGCAGCTTTGTTGACTTTGTCTTCATTCCCCCGCCTGTGAACAAACACTGAAGCAGGCTTCCCATCCTGGAGCATGGCCGAATGCATGGTGAGTCCGGAGGGCATGGTCAGGAGGGGCTCGTCCAGGGTACAGCTCCGCACCGCGCTGCTCTCCGCACCCATGGTTGCGCTTGTTCCTGGAGGGGACAGTGGGGGACAGTGGGGGACGTAAAACATGCAACGCCAAACGTAATGATGTGGCAATAAGAGGTTGACAGTCGTTAAGCACGCAAATAGAAACACTTGCTGCAGGGTGGAGTTGACATACTGGAACCTGTTCGACTGTGTTGGATGTACCGCTGCTATCTGAGAAGTTAGCTGGTGTTGTTAGGCGCCTAGCTGGCTAACATCGGCGCTACGTTAGCCAGCTTGTCATTGTTATGCTTGTCGGCAGCACTTCCGCCTCCTAACAATCATGCCAATCGCGATGTGGCGCGAAAGTAACCGAGTGATTTTACAAACTGATGAGACTGTTAAGTTAGAAAAGCACCAGAGAAATCCTCAGACACTTCTCGGCAAATCGACGATGCTAACGTGGAGCGAGAGCTGCGCTGTAAACACGGACTCTTCCGGTAAAAGACGAAACCACAAAGCAAGGGTCGATGTGACTTTCACAAATGTTAAAAATTAATCACTGAAGCTTGTTTGCTTAACATTTTAGAAAATTGTTCTAATTACTTATTAAACTCATATCACATAAGCATACAATGCTAATTTTTCGGCTTAAATGTATGTTTTAAAATCATACACAACCAGGAATACCCCTGCCCTGAAAGCTTATGGTTGCAACCAAAGTGGTGCGAGACAACGCAGGTATGTGCGCGGAGAGGTGACTACCATATGTTGACTAAAATGAAAATAGAAACAAAATACAAAACTCAAACGTTTGTGCTGATTTACTCTTGAGAAACTTTAGTCTGTGGTCCACTGGGTGTCTCGGTTAGGGTTATCAGTCTGACAAAGTTAGGAAGCCAAACCAGCTACATGGCAGGCGACAGTTTCATGGACACCACGTTATGACTAAAGCAGGGGTGGATCTAGAGAAATAGAATAAAAAAATAATGAATAAATAGTCATGGGGTGGCAATAGGGTGTCATGGAGACTTGAGGTGGTGGCATATATCAATATTTGCTTGGAAAGTCCCAAATTAACACATTTTAACTTAAAAAAATGACATTACTGTGACACATTAGTAAAGAAATGAATTGAAATATCTAAAGGTGCCATTAGAAATCAATAAATTCTTTATTATTTCCAAATGTTCTTCGGTCTTTTATCAGCACTTAGTCTAAAATTTGGTCATAACTGATCATTAAATTATGTGTTAAAGGTTAAATGGTTGTGATGCATGCCCAGCCCAATATATGAGCACTGGAAAAATATTATAAGTGAAGAGATGAGACGTGACATCATGGGAAACATTGTCCTAATTGTGGTATTGCTTCATCAAATAAATTTTTTGTGACCCAAAAAATACCATTTACATACATTGTGGCAGATACATATCTAAGACAACAAATTTAAATATTTTGATGAATTGGCATAACATTTCTGCATCTATTCACTATGGTAATCCCATATGCAGTATAAATATACATACATTTACATTCACATAGTGACATCAAAATAAATATAATAATAAAAAGTGTAAGTAATTCGAAGAGAAAAAGAAAAGAAAAAAACACATGCAGTAGAACCTCCTATGATCCTAATTATAACATAAACCACTCTTTATCTCCTCCCTCCCATCCTATCCATCCTTTTGACTCCCACCATGGTCGGCTGGATTTCAAACAATGATGAGATTTCTTATCGGGAGGAAATAAACAATCTTGCAAGGTGGTGCACAGAAAATCTACTGCTCAAAGTCAACAAAACCAAGGAGCTGAGTGTTGATTTTAGGAAAAAAAAAACAAAGACACACTCCCCTGTTTATATCAGTGGAGCTGAGCTGGAGCAGGTTCCTGGGAATCAACATCACAGAGAACCGTACATGGTCATCTTCCATCTCCACCCTGGTTAAGAAAGCACAGAAACAACTGTATTTCTTAAGGAAACTTAAGAAAGCAAAACATCACAAACTGGCATCATGGAATGTGAACGGCCCAGGACAGGATGACAGTGCAGCGGGTGAAACGCCTATAAGATATTTGGTACTCAGCTACCCAGCATAAGTCATATTGGTGAGGTCAGGGGCCTGCAGAGCCCAAAGGATACTAAAAGACTGCACCCACCACAGCCTGTTCACCCTATTGCCATCTGAGAGAGCAGCTTCTTCCCTCAGGCAGTTGAATTCTTCCACAACAATTCATTATGCAAATTAATAATACATTTTATATTTAATCATCTTTATTTTATTTTTATGACACTGATTTTTGAGGTAGCATAAAGGTAACTATATCAAAATTTCATACAACCTTGTTGTGAATTACATTATCCTTGAATCTATGAAGTTATCATTAAAATGTTATTAATGATAATGTGGTCGAGGCAGATGACCACCCACCTAGAGCCAAAGGGTCTGTCCTAGGTTTCTGCCTCTTAACAGGCAGTTTTTCCTTGCCCCCGTCGCCAAGTGCTTGCTCATGGTGGTACTGTTGGGTCTCTGTAAATGTTATAAGGAGATCGGTCTAGCCCTGCTCCATTTGAAAAATGTCCTGAGATAACTTCTGTTATGAATTGGCGCTTTAATTGAAAACTGAATTAATAAATACTCCTGAATTGATCATCTTTATCAGTTGTGTGTGAAACAGTGGTAAAGAGACTATAGAGTATTATTTCTTGTCTACTTTTTATAGATTTATATATATGTATATGTATATACATACATATAGTATATGTCATAAATAAAGCACAGAATCTATTCATATGGTTACATCAAATATAAACACACAACAACTGAGCACAGAAATCTGTTATCTCAGTTGTATCTCACTGTTCAGAAACTGCTCTTGGTTTCCTCTTCTCTGGAGATAGCAAAACCTCATTACTAACTAAGGATAGATCTTGATTCACTAACAAGCAAAAAACAAACCTTTGTCAGAGGAAGTGACGGTTTTGACTTGATGAGAAATTGGGCTGGTTACCTTAGTAACTAACAGCTGCAAAAAACACACTCACACTCATACTGAAGTAGTGAGAGCAGGAGGCGACATGGAAGAGCTCGGTAAGACAACTCTCTGTCATGTTTTACATTGCTGATCATCCTCAAACTGATCAGTGGACAGATTATTAGATATGGAATGATTATTATAATAAGTGCTATGATTTAAAACTGATGTAGACGATAGACATAAAAAGCATTATTGATCATAGAATAAGTGTGTCACAGTGCGTATTCTGTGACTCACACCAAGTACAGTACACAAGTACACTATATGCTGTACTCATAAATGAAGTTCAGCATGTCATTATTTAAATAACTCTTTTTTAACATTGTTTTGCTATTGTGTCTTAGTTTTCTTTTGCACTATTGTACTTATTATGTATGTATTATGTACTGTATTACTAGTCATTTTAATCATGCCTTTTATTGTTTGTAACCTCTGCTGCCAGGACTCTCAAAAACTCTCTCAGACATTATGATCTCAACAGAGTATCGTGGTAAAATAAACAAATAGATTGGGCTTCACTCATCATCCAAAAGTGTATTTAAAAAAAATAGAACAATTTTCATAATTTCATTATGTTCTAAAATAAATGAGACTATGTGCAGATTTTTCTGAGATGTGAAGACAGTAAAAGACATAAACTGATCAATTGTCAATAGTACAAAAAAAGCTGAACTTTTTTTTCGTCAACAGCCATGTTTGTCTTCTTCCTCACAAAGACTTTTTTCATACAAATATCTTACCATTTTCTTAGATGTTACATCTAAGAATACAACGTGTGAGGAGAGAGTTTTTGGTGTAACATTTGTCACCAGAATCTTGCAACATTATTACAAGTTTCACTTCTGCAACATGACTGCTGTCACTTCCTGCGTGAGGAAGCTGGTTTTCTTACAGCTACCTAAAACTGATCTGCTATCACTTTGATCTGTACATCGAGATGCACTATCTACACAGAAAATATTTCCCTAGTGCAAATCACATATACTCTAGTTTAATAATAAACACCCAGAAAGTAAAATCAATCGTTGTAAAGTGTTTTAGTTGTTATGTTGTGTGAATACTGTGTATGTATGCATGCCTACATGTGAATATATGTTCACTCTGCCACAGATTTTCTTTTAGAGGAGCTGGCCCAGACTTCTGCAGGTTCACAGGGTGTCAGTGAGAACAACAGCAACAATCCAGTTGATGGAGAGGTGAAGACAAAGCCACAGAAATTACAAACTTACATCGTAACTTTCTTAATTATCACCTAGATTTCAGTTTAAGTCAGACCTTAACTTTATTCTTAAGCAACCATTTGAGAAGTTAATGTCTACATTTTGGTAAACAATGTTCTTTAACAAATCATGTGATCAGATTAACTAGAAATCTTGGTACTTCAATCACAGAAACTCCAGTATTTTTGGTTGTGTGTCCACAGACGCCAGGTGCAGTTTGTGCTGGACTTACCAAGAAAGGAAAAGGCCCAGTCTTCTCAAATGTCTACAGGTAAAGCGTAGGCTTAAGGCCCCTGCTGACTCCCATTTCACATTATCATTGTGTAAAGTATGTAGAGGAAACAGGAAATGATTTGAAATTCATTGCACAGCATGTTATGACTATAAGGTCTTCCACTTTTAAAGTATCTTAATGTGCATAACAATCTTTAGTACAAGTAGAAGTCTACATTTAACCTAATTGCAAGGCCACAATAGATATTGCTGTCAAAAGTATTCCCCTATGTCAATTTCTGCATTGATTTGTATTATTAGTACTGTTGTCTGGGGTTTTCTACAGTTCCTAATTCTTCAGACCTCAGATTATGTTCAGAGACACAGTTTTCCCTCAGTATGCATTTGTACAGAAATCACAGGGTAATTGGTGTTCTTGGAGGTTAATTTGAGATATTATGCTTTTTAATTTGCTCCTCTATGGGTTTTAGTGATCTGCCAGCTCCTGTGGCGGCTTCTCCGGACTCACCCACTAAGGAGCTGGACTCCATCTTGCAGGATCTGATGGGTTTGGGACAAGGGGTCAGTGCATTGTCTACAAGTGCATGTCTCAAAATTGTCAATATTTATCTATTTCAGTATGTCAAAGGATAAAATACTCTGTAGTTTTTCTCTTCAGTCCATATAAACTGGTGATTCATATGGTAAAAGAGAAGAGTGGATGTGAGGTTAATACTAAATATGAGTGAAATTAACCCAGTGTAACAGCAGAGGGCAGCATTGTATTAATGTCAATACCATAGCCTTAAGTAATTCAGTATAGGAGCCTTGTTACACACTGACCTTTAGAAAAATACATTAATCAAATATATATATGAAAACAATAGATTTTTGAGCTTATTTGTATTATCATTTAGGATCCAGAGTCTTCAGCGACCCCACCACCACTCACACAGAAGCAGTCTGTGAAAAGGAAAACAGAAGGAGGCCAACAGGAGAACAAGGCGAGCAGCAGCAGCGGCGGTGCAGCAGGTTCAGATGCAATGGCCTCGAACACGAGCAAGAAAACAGATACTATAGATGATCTGCTTGGTGGACTGAGCTCCGACTTGGAGAAGATTGGTGTGCGCACCACAGCCAAGGGCCACTGTGCTTCCTGCAACAAATGCGTTGTGGGAAAGGTACAGTCACATAAACAAATGAGCAGCTATTAAAATCTGTGCATTGTGGATTTAGAAACTATGATAAAAGCCTCTTCTTGTTCTCCTAGCACTTACTGTTTTGTTTCTATTCTGTAGATGATCACCGCACTGGGTGAAGTGTGGCACCCTGAACACTTTGTGTGTGTGGCATGTAAGATGGAGCTGAGCACCACAGGCTTCTTTGAGAGAGATGGACAACCATACTGTAACAAAGACTACCATCAGCTCTTCTCTCCTCGTTGTGCCTACTGCAAGGGGCCCATTGTGCAGGTAAGAGAGAACTCCCCTAGTTTGTTTACTGTGTGTTGATTATGTTAAAATAGATAATTTTTCTAACTATTCAGAACTCCACTATCACATACTTAAAGCACACACTTGCCTTTGTTTCCTGATTCATTCTCTAACTTGTTCTGTCATAAATCGCATCCATTTATTTACACAATAAGCTTTTGAAGATTGGATGATGACATACAGTAGTATGTAGTTAATTTTTCTAGACGTATCCCACATGTCATCTTAATAAATAAAGCACAAAACCATATTGGGATTCTTTAGTCTGGGATTATGCTGCAGACCAAAGTCATTCATCAAAAACTAATGCAACCTCTCCTCTGATTCACTTTATGTGGTTCACAGTCCTCGTTTTTGTGCTTCCTTACATCTGAACATGTGAGATGAGACAGACCTTACTAATTCCTAAAGGAAGTAAAAGCATGATGTAATATTTCTATGTCTGGCTGGTTTACCAGAACATCCTGACAGCTCTGGACCAGACCTGGCACCCTGAACACTTCTTCTGTACACACTGTGGAGGCCTGTTTGGAGCTGAAGGTGAGAGGCTTGTGCATTATTTTCCCCTCTCTGGAAACCACAACCTTAGCAAACGGTTGGAAATAATTGTATCCATTATCCTTCAGAATTGATCTTATACATCTTATTCCTGTCCCAGGTTTCCTAGAAAAGGATGGGAAGCCATACTGTTCCAAGGACTTCTACCACCTCTTTGCTCCCAAGTGCTCAGGCTGTGGGGAGTCAGTCAGGGAGAACTACCTGACTGCAGCCAATGGCACCTGGCATCCAGAGTGCTTCGTCTGCTCAGTGAGCCTCTTACCTCAGACCACACACACGGCTTTGGCTCACACACAAACCCAGGAATAAATGAGAAAGATACCCACACATTTGCTTTATTTGCAACATTTTGACCACAAGGCTGATGAAAACCTTATGCCTGATGAATACAGTTGCGGTTGAAATGATGCAAATAAATCAAGGAAACCATATTCCTCAGTGTGGGTATCTTTTACATTCTCTTCAAACCTCCTTCTGTACACAGCATCTGGTCAAAAACGGTTCAGTGTGCAGCTCCACTTCTGCTTTACTCAGCTACGAGCAGTTGTTAAACTTAAAATGCTCTCAGTTGAGATTTTCTGGCATAAGATAGGAGATTCAATTTTTCATGTTTTATGCCCTCTAAAGAAAATTATTCTTGACTGAAAATACAATGTTCATAAACCTGAACATGAAGTACAGAAAATACATTGCTCTTAAAATCTTCCGCACATGAATACAATTATTAAAACCAGAAACTCACATTGTTTGATATGGAGCAGTCATTATCAGCAAGGTCCCAATTTTTCCTGGCCCTTGGTAACCTAAATCGCATTCCAGAGGGCAGGAGGTCAAACACTCCATTAAGAGGATGAAGTGGACACTCAAAAGTGGTCGAGCCTTTTTAATCAATCTCCCGCTAAAAAATGAACGAGGTAGTTCATAAAATGTAGCACCTTTCATCTTTCTGGCCATTCTCACTATGCAGTGCTGCAGCCTGGTTTTATCAGCGGTACAGAGAGATTTCCATACCATGATTATTGCAACAAAACCCTCAAAAACTGAGGTTTCTCTAGAAGCATAGTCATAGCTGATCCTTTTTGCAGACTGACATTTTCATAAAAAGTCTGCTGATAATCATTAAAGCGACTTCCGACTCTAAACCATTTTAATTGAATTGTAGTCTGCATGAGAATGTTCTAAAATCCTCAAACATTTCCACAGTTTCAGCTGCATACAGTTTTAAGAAACAGTCACCAACACCAAGCAAAACAGACCTTTCTCATAGTGACATTTTGACTTGTTAAACACAGGTGTTACTAATGTCATTAGTGGATTTTTCCATTCAGGTGTTCCTGTGCCAAGACCCTGGTGTTGTGCATGCTGGCGCACTGTCATAGCTTACACATACAAATGGAACAGAGCCATTGCTAATGTTAAGAGCTACACCTGTGCTTTTACTGCTATGACAAGTCAAATTGTCTGCCAAGAGAAATGTCTGAAATCAACCTCAGAGCTACATACAGCATCCCTGCTAGATCCATTTAGTTCAAGGTCTAAGTAAGGGATAATACCTGACAAGTATTAAGCTCTAGCAGTGTAATGTTGGTCTGTTAGTCGGTTGGTCCACAGCTTTGGTCCGGACTGAAATATCTCAGCAACTATTAGATTGATTGGCATGGTATTTTATACAGACATTCATGGTCTCCAGGACTTCTTCCAGGAGATCTTCTGACTTTCCACCCATTACGACCACGAGCTCGACTTTTTATTTCTTTATTTAAATATAACAACATTTATTGGATGGTTTGCTGTTAAATTTGGTGGACTCATCCAGGGCCACCATACTTTGGTTCATGGTCAATTACCTGTGCTGTGAGTTTAGTGGTAATTAACAAATATTTTAATGCTAAACCAACACTGTGAACATGGTGAACATTATACCTGCTTCACCATACTAGCATTATCACTGAAAGCATGTTAGGACACTGTTGTGAGTATTTAGTACATAAGTAAGTACAGCCTCACAGAGCCAATAACATGGCTGTAGACTTTTAGTTAATAAGTTGTTAACAGAAACACAAGCATTAACTTTTCATAACACATTAATGGTTCATGTCAGTAATATTGCAGATTTTGTAGCTATAATTTATATTATAGCTGACCATTGCGCAGAGCGTACCACAGGGTTATAGTTAACTTCCAGGTAGCCTTTGGTTTTCATTTGTTTCTGCAGATCAAAATAAAGAGATTTTAAATTTATGGTGGAGTTAATCCATCATAGTGAACATTAATTTCACATTTTATAAAAACTATATTACAATTATATGGTACAATTGAGAGCAGGGTCTAAATTATATGATATTACATTCAAATCAATTAGTGAACCAAGGAAGCACTGGCATCCAGCATTTGAGAGTTTGCTGCCAAACAGTCATGAAACTATATCATATAACACATTATTCTTTTCATGACATCCATGTTCCCTTTTTGCTCATCTTATATGTTTGACCCTTCTCCCACTATCTTACCATCTCTAATCTTTTTTCTCTCTCTCATTCTCCCTCTTCCATCTTTTCCCACATCCATTTCCCCATGTTTCTCTTCTGTTACTGTATCCAGGACTGTCTGAAGCCCTTCACTAATGGCTGTTTCATGGAGTTGGATGGTCGACCACTCTGCTCACAGCACTTCCACTCCCGGCAGGGCACTCTGTGCGGTGGCTGTGGTGAGCCCATCACTGGCCGCTGCATCTCTGCTATGGATCGCAAGTTTCATCCTGAGCACTTTGTGTGTGCCTTCTGTCTGCGGCAGCTCAGCCAAGGCATTTTCAAGGAGCAGAAAGGGAAGCCTTACTGTTCGGCTTGCTTTGACAAACTCTTTGTGTGAGACATAAGATACATAACATGGAGCAGAGACTGCTGCATCATTGTCATTATTGAGATTTTAATTTAGCCACAATGATGTATTTAAATGAGGCAATACTATTCTTACATTAGAGTAAATTACATTACAAGATCGTGTTTGCAGATAAGCAATAAACGCTTCACTTTTTCAGTAATTCATGGCCAACTAAGCTGCCTGACATTTTAACAGATTTTTGAATTGAAGCGAAAAATGTGTGGATAAATTATTTGTAGATTTTGTTAAAATATCAAGGGAAAAATGTTAACATCGTAACATAATTACTGACATGGCTGTAAAACACAAGGAAAACACATATTTCCCCATGATAAAAATATTTTAGAAACTTTCCATTTATGTGAAGTTTGGATGGTTGTACAAGGTGTGTTGCTGACACTTTTTTTTGACACATGGCAAAATTATACAGGATTTCGTATATCATGATCACGTAAAATTTATAAACGGAGGACGAAAAACACAGAGGTGCAGTTTTAATCCGTGGTTTCCATTAAGCTATCCCTAGTTTGCCATAAGACTTGGCAGTCTAGAGATATTCTCTGGCAGTATGGGGCACTTCGTCAAGAGGCTTGTCTATGTGGCCTGATAGCTTGTATTGGCAGTGAATGGCATGAATCGGCGTGCCAACCTGAGTTTCCTCTTACTCTGACCTACCATTTGGCCCCTGGCATGCATTGGATTCAAACAACCTCCTCATTCTCCACACAGGCTCCTTTATAGATGCCTATGGAAGATTAATGAAGGTGGTGAGGTGAACAAAGGTGGTTTCAGAAGGAGCTCCCTCGCATCACTGCATTTCTTCAGCAACTGACGTTGACTGTTGAGGGATGAATCAACCACAAAGTGTTTTAGAGTAAATGTATTTTTGGTGATGTACCTTGCATGTCTGGGCCCAATTTTTTTGTCTTGTCTTACAGCAAGATGCCTTGTTCGTGCTTTTTCGGCTGACAGCATTCAAATATGTGATGTCTGCATGTCCTTGATCACACCATAAAGCACAAAGTGACAACTGATTAATTGTATTTCATACAGTACTAAAGATAGAACCTAATAGAAGGTACAAAATTAATAATTAAAGTTATGGTATAGGAAATCTCACTGAAGTAAATGATTGTGGGTGGGCAGAAAAGTAAACTAAATCACTTTATAGTATAAATCAGTTTTGTAAAGCAATGAGCATCATGGAAACGACCTGTGAAATAATAAAGGTAACCAAACTTGCTCAAATGTTCTCAGTGTTCCCCTCTGTTGGATACTGAGTTCAGATTCTTGCCCATGTCAAATTGTATCTTATCAGACATTGCCTTATCTTCAGATACACTGGCTACTTTTTGTCGGCCCTGTAGTCAGCTTTCTCCAGCTTTTCTTCAAGCTACTTAGACTTGCTGTGTGAAGTTAGTGTGTGAGTGAGAATGGAGGTTTGCATTAATCATGCTGTCATCACTGTCAGACCAGGCCTCTCATAGCCTCTACAGAATATGGACCTTGCATCACGGAATAAGTGTGAATGTATCGTGTTCGGTCAAAATCCAGGATCACAAGTGTTTAATGATCTATCGGCCTTGTGCCCAGATTCCTGCTGAACTCAAAGACATACTGTAATTTTTAATGTTAAATATGTTTAACACACCTGAGAGATTTGCATTTTGTGTACAAGAGGGAGGTGCACTTTCCAGCTTGAACCATACATATAACAACATCAACTTGATCAAATGACTTGAGTGGCGATTATGTGCAGTCTAGTATTAAAAATGTTTCTTTATGCACTATTTACTGTCACAACTGCATGCTGTAGGAGTAGACTTGCCGAAACGGTCTAATAAGTGGCTCACTCTCCTACATCAAAGAGCTGTAAACTAGGGGTTTAAATTTAGACGTTGAACGCACATGTGAACACTCATCCTAGCTGTCGGGTGTATTTACAACACCAAAGCTTTGCAAAGTCTTGAGTAGAAAAGTAGAAAACAAAAATATGATGCGGGGAAAGTAATTCTGGCATTCACAGAAAAATATGAGTGTTATTGTATGGCTGAGTGGACAGGGAGGAAAAGGGTTCTCTGGCACGTAGTAAAAATGAGAAAACATGAAATGTGAGCAGGGGTCTTTTTAAAAGGGTGGCGAATAAAGGGCCGTCTGTGGAAAGCAGAGAGAGTGTAACTCAGGTGACATTTACAGCAGTGAAACAGAGTACGAACGGTCTGGGAGCTCACTGGGCCATGATGGCAGTTCGAGCTCAATGGGGGAGGAAAAGGGAGTGAAGCATAATGGATACTGGTGACGAGGGAGGCAGGGTGAGGAGGGCAGGGGTTGAGGAGTGTACTTGCAAGAGTTACCCCTGCGTGACACTGAAACCCAACACTTACCTCCTCTCCTGTAAAATGGCTGTGTCCGCTTGGCCACCCCTGATGGGGACCGTAGAGCTGCCTGTCCAGACCTATGCAGTCCCACTGTGGGTCACGCCCGGAGCTGGTGCTGCCCTACCCAGTAAACCCAGCAGTTCACATCAGCTTTGAACCCATAACTGTCAGATAGGTCTCAGGTACAGACTCACTCATTAATCAGTACATTAGCTTGTAGAAACACTTCCATGGAAACGCCACCTGGAGACAACTCCAGTTGCAAATCAGTCTGGACAATGTGAAATCACAGCTCCAGTAGGTGCAGTTAAACATGGATGGATCAAATTACTGTAACATCATTACTAGGCATGTCCATGTATGTACTGATAAACTCAACAGGTCAATGAACTACTAGAAATATTTAAGTGAATGCAGGTACATTACTCTTAAAGGAACACAGAGCTCTAAAGAGAAACAAATGTGAATTCCTCACAAATGATTTTTAAAATGTATTTCATCTCATATGCAGTGATGTGTGTGTTATGTCAAACATAAATGGGTGGAAAACTTGAAAAATCCTGTCAGGTCATAAAATAAAATTTTGAAGGCATGTCCATTAACTTCAAAGAATCCTATTTGTTGGTAGTGCAGACAGTAAATATCATCTCAGTGTCCCATGAACAATCGTTTCACAGGAAGCATCCCAGTTCCTTGACCCAAACAAAGATGGCAACTGGATGAGTAATGCCATTTAATGGATTGTCGTCAGACCACAAAACCCTTTTGTTATTCTGTGTTCATGCATTTTTTCAAGATATTTACTTCCACTTTTATTGTAGTCACATAATTTTAGTAGCTGGAATGAACTACTTTTGTAGTGTCTTTTAGTCTTTCTTAAATTTAGCCTGACAGGTTAACAGAAGTCATCTTTGGAAACTGTTTGGAAAAAGGCAGACACTTTAAAAAAATACTTGGCAGGTCATTGGATGAACCATTTGTCTATCACTGTCTATCACAATCAGACTTTTACAAATCAGATCAACAGACCTTGTAACATAGTCAAACTCTTACTGAAGCCAGTCGGGAGAAGAGTGAAAACATATTTTCCATCGAGAGAAGCCTTCAGTGCTGTTCTTTGCTCTTTCAATAAAAAAACACTCTCCAGTTCTAAAATAACTGTCTATGCTATTTACAAGCCGCCATTGTTGTTTTCGAGCAGTCACTTCCTAATACATGTCATCACACACAAGTGTTAAACCCTTGAACCACGCCCATAGCTCATGTTGTAGCTGCCAGTAGTTCCTCAAAAGATGCTGATTGGTCCGGTACCACTGGGATTAGACACATTAGACGTGATTTGGCCGTAATTGCAGACTAAACATGAGGACACAATAAGCACCTGTCATTTCCAGTAGCCATCTTTGTTTGTGTTGTGATTCTTTGAGGATACCGTACATGTTCAAACTCATGGTGAGTTCATTGTCATCATTGCATTTAACAGCTGTTAGTGCTCCAATGTAGACTGGAAAATATGTGGAAATTGATTAATTTCAACTTGCTTGCTGAATGTATAAGCTACTTAATTACATTTTGAGAAACTGTCATACCCTCTCATAATGAAGCTGAACAGCACTGAGCTGGCAGAGGCGAGACCAGAAGGTAATTGCAACTTGAATGACCAGAAAATCCAAACATCATGTAAAGAACTCAAGTCATCTGAACTGGAAAGAGTTGGTGTGTCCGTCGTTATTGGCCAAACAAGTACATGCAAATTTCACAGCTTCCCAAAGGTGAGTCGCTATGCCTACACCGCCTGTTTAGAGGGCAAAGTCTGAGTGCAAAGGAGTGTTTCTGTGTGAGAGTTAAAATGAATGTGTTTTTAACAGCAAAGAAAAAGTGACAACTTCAACACCTCAGTAATTACTTCCACACAGAGAAAAGTTGAGCTGGAGCACAGCTCTACTTTTGGGTGTGTTTGTTTTGGCTTTCTGCTGATGCTGGGTGCAGGTATCACACCTGATTCATGACTAGCTCCTCTGTCCAAAAGGAACTTCTTGTTGTCCTTGGCCGAACAGTGAGTGCTCGTTGCTATCTCACACTCTCTCACACACTGGCAGGCATATGAATGTGCACACACACACACACACACACACACACACACACACACACACACACACACACACACACACACACACACACACAAAAACCTTGTAAATACTATTTGTGGATTTTCCTATTCATGCCATCTTAGGTTTGGTTTACTCAATCACATGCGCAGACACAAAAACATGTTAATTCAAATAGTTTCAGTTTACCCACACATTAAAATGCATACACATGCACACAAATCAGTTCAACACAATGAATGCAATCAATGGGTTTGGTGAACAGTATCACGCACACACACAGATGCAAAACACATGCAAACACATAAATATATAAATGGTATTTATGAGTTTGGGCTCTGTCTCTCTTTTCATCTCTCTGTCTCTCTTTTCATCTCTCTCTCTCTCTCTCTCTCTCTCACACACACACACACACACACACACACACACACACAAGAGAAAACTATGGTCTTCTTGGGTTTAGGGTTGACACAAAGCATATCTGTGCGAGCATCACTGCCTTCTCTGTGTGCTGGCTGATCCTTAACCAAGTGAACTTGAGGTCTCCAGTTTTATGGGTTAAATAGAGTCAGCTCTTGAGGGGGATGCTATGGGAGGTTCTCAAGACAACTTCAAAACACTTCATCTCCTCTTCCTCTGCTGCACGTCTTTGTCTCATCTCCCTTACATCTCATGCCAGGTCTCTCAGTTGGACCTCCATGCTCAACATGGAAAAACAAAGAGAAAAAGAGCATGGTGCATTTTATCCTAAATAATGGCACAGACCAAACTGGCTGGGGTTATGAGAAAGATTTATAAGACAGTAAGCTCCTTCTGTATGCTAGTCTTTAGTGTCAAGAAGATAGATGGTTTCATTATGCTGCTTCATTGTGTCCATGTGTGGGTGTATGGTACAGTGTGCCAGAGCAGTACAGTCTGCGATATGTTCGGGAAAACCATTCTTGCGATCGATGGAGCTCTTTGAGAAAGTTAAACCCTTCTAGTAATTGTTAGAACATGTCTTGAATGCAAGAATTGCAAGCCTGTAATGATTTGGCCAAGTTACTTGAGATCACAGGACATTGGATTTGGAAAGCTGAGGTTCAGACCAGGTTTTTACAAGGGTTAAAATTCGGTTATGGATGAGAATTTGACACTGGAGTGGAGGTTGAGGTTCTTCAGACTTAGATCTCCATTACTGCCCTGTATTGTTTGTGCGGTACATGGTTGACAGCTAGGGCAGCAGCTCTTGGCTCAGCCAAGGTGGCAAGGCTGAGGCTTGGACCAGGGGTCAGACACTGAGCAGAGTGGCTCTGGGACTGGGATGGGGCCAACTGGTAATATGGCTCTAATCCAAATCCACCGCCTCTGTAGCAGCCGCAGCATGGATCATTATAAGATTTGTTTTAAAGAGTGATGGTTAACCGCAATATGGCCCTGTTGCCTAAGAGCTGAATGGCCTCCTGGGTTTGGACAAGCTTGTGGAGGTTTGTTGAGGGCTAGGAAGCCCCACAAGGAGCAGACCAGGGCTGGCTGGTTGATAAATAACAGCCGCTGCAGGGGGAGCCCACAACGCCGGCCTTTAGTCAAACCTCCAACAAGCCTGAAACACTGAGAAACTTTGTGTAGAACCACACATCCACAGACACTAATGTACACACACATGCAGAGGTCTATAATTGCATCATAATGAGTTTAATAGCGAAATACACTCACACAAATTTCACCCTGGCAACTCCAATTGGGTTTTACAGTCATTTCATTAACAGGTGTCCATTTTCCAGCACCTCAGCTCTGGCATGTTTGACAGAACATCCATTTAAATTGGACTGAGAGGATTCACATTAGCAACTTGCGCCAAACCTTTGGGTCGAAGGAGACATTTTTCTAATCACTAATCCCCCAGTACTTTCTGTGACACCCTGTTCCCACTAAACGCATTAAGATGCAATCATAAGTCCTTGTCTGAGCCCTGGGCTCGTCCACAGCTATGTGATGATGGAGTTACTTCTTTGCATAAAATGATTTAGTGTGCAGTAATTCAAAACCCCAGCATCGCTTTCATCATTAAGATTACATCTTCATTTTTATAATCCTACTACTTCAGTCATTCCTGTTGCATTCATCTGTAAAAGCACAGAGCCTTTTACAGAAAGTTCTCTATGAGGACATGCTGCAATCCAAAAAACATCAAGTTCTTAAAATGTTATATTTAATCTTAAAATCTCACTGCCTTAAAAAAAGGGGTTAACTGCTAGTGGATTGAATAAATTGCATTTGATTCGAATTCAGCCAGATTTGTTTTGAAAATGTCCTTTATTTAAAAACAAAATAGACTGTCCCCTTTAATGATACATATTTTATATTTGTTAAATTGAAATAAATATATATTTTTTGAACAAACGCAATGATGTACTTCATTCATAAATCCTTTGATTTTTCAGATTTTACTTTCATTGTAGAGAGAGTTCTTCCTTAGACATTAGTGTATTTTGTTCTATTTGATATTTTCCTAACTTTATGTTTAATGGAAGTTAAAATATGTGCTTTTACGTCTGTTTTTCCTTCCTCCATACTTTGACATTGCTATATAAGCAAAAACAATATGTATTCAGAGACAGAAACCTTGTTATTTTTAACACCATTTTTTCTTTCCCCTTTTAAACCAAAACCTCACTCTCAACAACCTCTCTCTCTCTCTCTCTCTCTCTCTCTCTCTCTCTCTCTCTCTCTCTCTCTCACTTTCCCTCTCACATAATATTGTCACATAGCAACCAAAAAAGCCAAGACAAACAGGAACTCTAGGATTATTCAGTCATTTGAATCAACATCGTCTTTGCTATCCTTCCCCGAATGATGTCTGGCTTTGGAAATGTTTCCACTAAACAGTTGAGTCTCCGTCAGGGCTTACGACGGGATTAGAGCTCAAATTACTGACTCTGTGGCTCATTTACTCTCTGAATCCACAGCCTGCAAAACAAAAGTTGCATGTGGACATGTCCAGTGATATGATAATAGCATGAAATGAGAAACACATTTTAAAGAGAGAAACTCTTTCCAGCGCCGTAGACACGCTTTTATGTGTAATGTTTGATGTAACGACACTTAGGAGATGTAAAAGGCAAGCACTGAGGCAAAAGTAAAGATGTTTCAACTGAACGGACAGGAAGAATAAGAGAAGCAGTGGCAACAGTATAAGATAGCAAGCAGAAATCAACGATTTCTTTGAGAAGAAAAAATACTGAGTAGCATAGGTGGCAGTAATATAGCATTACAAGTAATACCAGTTATAGTAGTAATAGTAAGCCAACTTGTTGTCATAAATTAATTTAATTACCTTTATTACACCATTAGCATTTTAATGAGGCTGAACTGAGAACAGAATAATAAAACCAATGTCAAATGAATATTATTTTGTACTGTAAAGTGATTCATGATAGTCATCATAAAATGTTTTTTTCCTATGAGTGACCTACTTGTTAATCCAAATAAATCTTCTCCATGT